ATTACGATTTAAATGCTCGACAACAACGAAATTGGCGAAACGCAACAAGAAAAATTGAAAAAAATGAAAAATTAAGAGCCCAATATCCAGCATTTGAACCTTCATCTGATATCAACATCATCCACATCCATTATAAATCCAATCTGGACACATTAAATGAATTAATTGTAAAAGCACAACAAACAAAACGATACACTCTCGACACTGAGGGTGCAAAAAATAAAAAACATGAAAAAGGTGCATTAATACAAATACAATTCATACATTCAATCAATTACTCGACCATAATAATAATTGAAACAAATTATTTACCTGATCGGCATACGATTTTATATGAAAAAATAAAAGAATTATGGTCAACAATATTCAGCAATTACAATGAAATTATTACATGGGGTCCAATAGAAGATGAATTTAAAGAATTTCTACATCTGGATTTTAACCATATAGGTAAGAATATTGAAGATACTGATTTACAATCTTTGTTTAGATCATGGTATAATGAACAACAAAAAACGCATCCAGAAATGGAAAAGCGTGATGATGATGGTACAGACGATGATGAAGAATTAGATTCAACAACTTATGATGATGCAACAGTATGGTCATTACAAAAGGCAATCGAAGTAATATTTAAAAAATTTCTCGACAAATCATTAACAGTAAACTGGTGGCAATGTGGTCTTGATTTAAAATTAAACACTTGGAAGAACCAGTTATTCAGTCGACATAATTATGATGAACGAAAAGAAAAACAAGAACGATTTAAAATGGTACAATATGCAATAAATGATTGTACTTCAGTCGCTGAACTATATTTCCATATGTATCCAGGCAAATCAGATGACCAACAAACACCTCAAGTACGACCAGCAACAACACGAACAATTACATTAAAAACACCAGCAATAACATCAACAAATATCACAAATATATTAGAAGATAAATTGTCCGATATTAGTGAAGATGAAGTTATTGAATTATTAAAACCAAAATTTAATAAAAAAGAAGATGCTCCACATCAATCAAATTATGAACAAGGTGAATTAATAATAACAACAACAGAACAAGAAATGAATGAATTCGACTCAAATGAACAACAACTGCAACAACAATCATCAACCACACAAACAACAACCACAACAGTATCAAAATCTGAAAGACAACGTCGGAAAAACATGAAACTAAAATGGAAACAACAGAACCGACCAGACTTCCAAAATAAATTAAAACGACCAATATATTATAAATATGACTTTAGAAAAACACGAGCTCAATTACGTGATGATAACATACATACAAGTCATCAAATAACAATCAACCGTAAATATAATGAAGTTATTATTGGTTTTAAATCCCGACAAGAATTAGAACATGCAAAAAAAACTATAAAAATAAATTCTTTTTTTTTTNATACTATTGAATTCTGACTTTTAATTTATTGATCTACTCTGATGCATTCAACATTCATAAGATTTTTCACCAATCGAATCTCTACTTCGATTCCCTCGACTTGTTTTCAAGTACTCAGGGACTTTCGAATTACCAACCGCTGTACCACAAGCTTTATTATCAACACAGATGATGCTGTAGTTGAATCTTTTTGTTGAGCATCTAGAACTCGTTGGATCTGTTCTGTGATTTTAGAATGCATCAAAACCTTGATGACTATGAGCTTCGCCAAAAATTGATTTAACATCAGATACTGAATAATTTAATCTTATCCATCGAAAACACTTGAAATTGAAAGGACCATTTTGTATAATTTTTGGCTAAGCTATCGAATATCATACAGATAAAAAAATATTAGCAAATATCATCTGATTATTATTCACTCTGTGAGAAAATATTAATCTTTACCTATTGCCGTTCTCTATGTATGTTCGATATAACTCTAAGAAAATAGATTTTTATTACTCAACCTATGCACAGGTAAAGAAGCTTCGAGATTTTACACTGATATCCAAAACCTAAAACGGTTTATCAGATCACATTATTTAATTTTTGTTTAGGTTCGGAATATTGATACGCTATCTCAAAGGTTTTTCACTCAGACCCAGGTTTGGTAAAAAACTTATTTTTTTACAATATAGATCAAACTCATTTCGATTCGTATGCGTTCATCCAAATAAAGTTATTGAGATTTTTATGAATCAGTCAGAGTGATCCGTCGAAATAAATAATCGATGAAGCTTTGACGTATCGGAAAACATCACTCTGAACAATCTACTTCAGTCTCTAGTGACCACTAGACTCTCCGATCAATGCATGAAAATATCTCTTAAAAGTATGTTGGATTCGTATTTTTTCTTATGGCATTGCACTTGTCCTTGTGTATTATTAAACATTCACTAACTTCTATTGAACATGGTCGCAAGTTCATACCTATATCTGTAATGTTTTCATCTGCTGTAATTTTCTAAAGAACCATCGGGACTTGATAAGCTTGATCAGTAAGATGTCTATACGAGGTTAATTACTGACCAAAAATATTCGACATATGGAGAATAGTTCATACAAGACATCTTTTAACTGAAAACGAACATGAAAAATAATAATAACACTTACGACTGATGCCGACATTGATCCCTCTGTTTTGCAGAGTTAGCGTGTTGTGCAATGCTGGTAATTGTTTTGATTGCAGATTTACAAGCTCTGTGCATCGTTTTCCTTACTGAAGTCTTCTACAAATAAAAGCCCGCAGGAAATTTATACGAAGCAATAAGAAAAAAAGAAGAATATGCAGCACAAAAGTCGTCAAAAAATGCGTGAAGCTATCTTTTGGCTACGAAGCGCACTATAAATAAACTCATCACTATGTAATATATCGAAATGGCAGTGTAATGTTTGTGAACCAGCTGTTTTCCTGTATGTATAGTTTCTATAGTGTATCAAAACAAATATAATCCTTTTACCAGTTATAGTACTTTCAAAATGCTAATAATCTGATAAAGATAAAAGGTCGATATCGTGTCTAAAACCAAGAAAATCATGTGCCTTCCGAAAATTATTTGGTATTTACGCACAAACTTTACAAAGAATATTATTATTTTGGTTTTAAACAAGTTATAGATCCTTTCTCTATGGTAGATCATTAGTATTATACGAGTACTATGACTGATAAAAGAATCATATTATTCTAATATACAATAGGAGCTGCACGAACAAAAAAAAAGAATTGGGATATCCAGTAAGACTAATTACTGTAACGAAAAATTAAATCAATTGTATATATATATATATAATGAAGGGGTGTGGGTGTGGGTGTGGGTGGGTGTGGGTGTGGATGTGGTTGTAGGTAGGTGTCATCTTTTAATACTCACAACCGCACCCCACACCCACACCCACATCCTCTAAAATAACAAACGTATCTGAACGTATTTCATATATAAACCGCAATTGATTGTTCCTGAGAAAGTAGAAAAAATGTCGTCTGAGCGTGATTCCATTTAAAACTGTAGTAAGACGCGTTTCAATCATGAATCGCATGTAGATGTAAACCACGTTGCATTGAAGACGCGATTTGAGAAGATATAACATTGAGATGCGTTTCTATCAGAAGTCGTGTGTACACGCAAAAAATATCGCATTGGAGATGCGACTCGATTTTCAATCGTGCTCGAACATAAACAAAAATGCTATGATCGAACAATCAGAACTATCTAGATTGCAAATTATCTTCCGATCGGTGAGAAAAAATATTCACCAACTTCATGTTTACATGTTTTTTAGTAGGGCATATAACTGTGGCCGTTATAGTCCATTTGTTTTGACGCATGATACCAATAGAGATTCTGTTTGACATCTTTTTGAACCCTTCAAAATCCTTTAAGGCGCTGGATTATGAAGTAGCATCGCTTAAATTATATAATTAGATAATGAAGACAGAGTATAAACCTATGAAATTTGTTGCAATAGCTGGTGCAACATGCTATTGAGATCTTATGCTCTGTCAAGGATCTTTATTCAAAATTTTAGAAATATTTTGTCCAAATCACATATTTATTTTTAAAAACCATTTAGTTTTCAGAAATGATGCAATTGGCTTGGGAGAAGCTAACGATACATAAGATTTTTCACGTGTTCTCGACATTGCATTCGGAAATAAAAATATTTTTTCATGCGTCTCATTATTAACACCAGATAATACATTTTTTTGTAAAATTTTGTACTACTAATTATTAGAAAAATTGTATTTAGTATGTGATATTCACATTTCAAAAAAATATTTTTGTTGAAAATAAAATAGAAGGCTTAGTTAGTCTTCAAAAATATTTCTGATTGAACCAAAAGTTATTTTGAGCTTGTATAGCTCAGTGATTCATCTGAATGGCTTCTGATTACTCATTGACCTATTCGAATCTGACTGCAATCATTGAATGTAATAATTCAATCTGCTTGTCAAGTTGGGTGAAGACCATCATGACAAGATGTTGATGGTGTCTCTGTTCGAACCTGATATGGATTGAAAATTCTTTTTAAAGTTAAAAACAATTAATTAAAACGCGTCTAGATGCGCTCTTACCTTCACATGCGTCTAAATGATATTCTGTTTGCAAATGCATCTAAACGCATTTCTCAAAAATAAACTGCTTGAAAACTTCAAAAATGTTGCACCTAGGTTTCGTTTCAACGCGTTCGTCCTTAATGTTTCGTACATATGAAAGATGCGACTCAAACACAGTTTTACTCAAAAAATATTTACATAGGTTCTAGTTATTCCAACAAATTTGAACTATCCACTCGCTACTGACTAACTCACAGACTAGACTCTCCACTCACTTTTCTTTTTCTGGGCATGCACCAAATCCAAACCCAAATCCAAACGGTTTGGGTTTGGTGCATGCCTATCTTTTTCCATATATGCACCCGGAAAAAATAGTTAGACTCTCTTTCGAATATATTGTAACTATGGAAACATATTTTATAATAATAATACATATTCTGAAAGCACGTGGAGTTTTCTACCATCTTATATATTTGCATTTTAGTTTGTACTAATTTATCAGCAAAAAATATTCGGAACAATGAGGGTACACTCATGTACAGATTTCCACGGACCTGATTTTTATTGTCGTCAACATTAATTGTTTTAATGTCTGATTACTATAGAATAGTCTTTTAAAAAAAAAAGCAACTATAGATTCTGCTAGAATTTGAAATTTTCTACTAGCCAATGTTTTTTTTATCTTGCCTCGCATATATGCGCTTGGCAATAATTCGAGTATCACTTAGACATGTTCTAGAAAGAAGTAGCTTTTCTTAAAACTTATCTCCATCACCTTTTACTTCGAAAATTCACGATGATAGAAAATTTCAAGCTCTATCAAAATCTATAATTCTTTTTTTTGAAAACTTTTTATAATAATTATACATTGAAAACACAAGAACAGTAATAATTTTTGGTACTTGTCGATTCACGATATGTTAGTGTATTCAATTTGTTTTTTAATAATGAATAGAAGAAAATAGATAAATATACAAGGTGATAGAGAATTTCAAACTCTAGCAGAATCTGTAGTTGCTTTTTTCAAAAAAGACTATTCTATAGTAATAACATATTAAAACAATTAATCTTGATGGTAATTAAAAAACTGAAAGCTGTGGGAATTTAAACGCGAGCGTACCTTCATTTTTCTCAATATCTTTTGATAATAAATGGGTACAAACTAAAATGTAAATATATAAGATGGTAGAAAACTCCACGGGCTTTCAGAATTTGTAATTACTATTTTAAAAAAAATGTTTTTCTAGTTACAATATATTCGAAGAAGAGATTCTAACTATTTTTTCTTAGCGCATATATGGAAGAGCAACATATACGGAGAAAAAGTAGAAGAGATGGAGAGAGAAAAGGAAAAGGCAGGATAGAGGGAAAAAGAAAGAAAGGAAAAGGAAAAAGGATGGAAATAGTAAAGGAAAAATTACACAATGCTTTAGCGAGAACAATTGATGTTGTAGAAAAGGATGTTTGTTATCCTCTGTAAACTGTTTTATTCATATCATATTGAAATAATGTAATTGTTGATATCGTGTATCCTAATATCGGCTATCCTTGTCACAAGCGATAGGGTGCCACTTGGTACGTCCTTCTGCTAAATTGAGACGCGCTTCCGAACGGCTACAAAGCAGAACTTAAAGAGAGAAGGAGACAGAGCGGAGAGAAAGACAGTAAGAAAAAGAAAAAAAAAGAATATGCATTATAGGCTAATAGTATACAACATGTAACAAATAAGGAAAATAGAACGAACACTATATGCAAATAAACTATACAAAAAGCAAAATCTATATTGTAGAGCATAATAATGAGATTGAATGACAAGGAAGAAATATTTTTAGTCATCAAATGTCTTGTAATTAAATCATGCCACCGTGTATATCGGTAGTGGCTTAGAATCTTCAAAAGTCGCTCTCAAGAGTTATATGTCTG